CTGCAATCTTCCTCAAGATCTATGCTGGAGACTCTTAGAGAAGGAGGAATGAGCATACTTTTCCCTGCCGGAAGATTACAGTTCTATTGCCGATGTCAATGACCAGGTACAGGCACCCGGCAGTAGAACTGCTCAGCCTAATTCCTCGAAGAGAGGATCTTGGCTGTTATAAAAGCCGTAAGATCAAATGGACCAACAGGTCGGTAAGCTGGCAGGAGAGAAATGGATTCAGTTCAGAAGAAACAGAATCATCAATGACCTTGGAGATTCAGACGAATCAGATTTTCTACTGGAGGCAGGAATATAAATAGCACAAACACAGACAATGCAGAAACAAAAGCCACCAACTCAACTTTTTGTTTGAGAACTTGTTAGGTCTCCAAAACTGTTCACAACCACAGCTGCTAATGGTTATAGATTTGGCAATCAAAATGTCTTTGTTTAAAAAAAAAAAAAAAAGGTTTTAACTGCCTTACTATTGAGGTTACAAACCACAGCCTTGATGCATTGTTGCAGTCAACATCCTCCCTGCTGTTTCTGAGAGCTTACATCTGCTGCTGGCAGATAAAACGCTGGCAAACGGCATGGGCTCCTTCCAGGGGAATACGGGAGAAGCTCTAACGAGGTGGCTCTCATCTACCTCTCTCCCCTGAGCTGAGCCCACAGCCTTTTCTGTATCCCTTCTCTCCTATCTAGGTTGATCCCCTGCCATTACTCAGGAGGGTTGACGGTCTAGTGGGATTTTTCCTGGCACAAATTAGCCATGCTGGCTACACTAGTCACAGGAGATAAAAGGAAGACAAGTTCTTAGCTCAGGGGAAAGCATTTTAAGCACATATTTTTAAAAACCACTTCTAGTGTAGTGCACTTGATTTTGAAACAACCACTAACAAAACCTTTTCAGTGTTTTTTTCTTTTTAAGAGGACTAAGTGATCTCACTATGCCAAAAATAGTGAGGGCTTAGTGTATTTGTATTTTAACTTATCAAAGAAAGGCCAAGAATGTGAGGTCAGAAGTAATTTGCAGAGTTTCTTTGGAAAAGGGCAAAGTTAAGAACACAATGGAGAAGTAAAATGTGGTCCAAGTCACATAGGAAGTTAGTTTCCTTTGAAGTAAAAATTACTAGAGGGCTGGCCCCATCCCCCACCAGTTAAGGGAACTGGATCCCACATGGCTGAGTGGTTTAAATCCTGGCCCCAGCAGCTTGAGAAACATGCCAGACACATGTGTGTATGTGCCTAATACCTCTAAAGGATGAAGAAATGGAGAAGGGACTGTGCTGTGACCACAAAACATTGGGGAATGATTTCTCCCTTTCCCCCTCTGTCTCCCTCTCTGGTGAGATCACTTAGTTTCTGGCAAAACAACATTTACTAGATCCACACTGGTTTTCTTTTTTTTTTGCATTTTTTTTTTTTTTTTAGCTATAGGGCGTGCACTCACCAGAAAAACAGAGAGAGGCAGAGAGATAGAAAGCGAGAAATCACCTCCCAGGGGGGATGGCCACGCTGCAATCCCTTCTCCTCCATTCTCGTCTCGGGATCTTGGACATGCATGCACACGCGCCCAGCATGAGTTTAAGTCACGGGGTCCAGGACTCGAACCGTAGTTGGCTACATGGGAGTTCAGTGACACAGCCATTATGCTAACTGCTGGTCCCTAAATTTAACTTTATTTATTACTATTATTATTATTATTTAGTTTTATCAGACAGAGAGAGAAAGAGAAAAATGAGAGAGCAAGCCACCAGGTCCAGGACTTGAACTGTGGTCAGCCATGTGGGAATCCAGTGCCTTTACCCACCACGCCACCTACTGGTCCCTCCACATTGGTTTTCAAAGAAAATGTAATTTAGCTTGGTGACATAAAATGAGTGAGGAGATGCTAATGCAATATACAGGTTAGAAAACTGTTTCCTGAACTGACCTATGAGAGTAAAGGGAGACCAAACATACATAGACTAATGCTTGCTGAAAGTACGTACCAGGATACCAGTTCTGCAGTATGGACATAGCAATAGGTATTGTGCGTGTGCGTGGACTCATGCTCACATTTTGGCAATAGTGCATATTATCTCCAACTCACAGAGCGTCATAATACACACTAGCATATTGCCATTATCCTAACATCGTTAGCATTTTGAGTCCTCTGATGTGTTTTAAAGAACACCTAGACCACGGAGTAGTGTGGGAAAGGTTCATCGAGAGTTGTTCCTGAAACAAGAATGAGGCCGGTACAACAGACTAGGCACTTACATTTCTTACATCAGAGCACTCCAGTACTAACAGAGACAGGGAGATCTAGACATTTCCTAAGGGGCAGCCAACTACCAAACTTAGGGCACATGCGCTTGCCAGACAGACAGAGAGAGACAGACAGAAAGCGAGAAATCACCCCCCAGGGGGGATGGCCACGCCACAATCCCTTCTCCACCATTCTCCTCTCAGGATCCTGGCCACGCACACACACGCACCTGGCGTGAGTTTTAAGCCACTGGGTCCAGGACGCGAACTGCGGTCGACTACGTGGGAGTCCAGCGACATAGCCATTACGCTAACTGCTGGTCCCCCAAACCTAAAACTTTTTTTAATTTTTAAAATTTCCTGTAGGAGGGGCCAGCAGATGGCATAGCGTTTACATTGCTAGACTCCCACATGGCAGACCACTGTTCTAGTCCCAGACCTGGTGGCTTAAAACTCATGCTAGGCATGCTCGTGTGTGTGTGTGTTTGTGTGTGTGTGTGTTGCCAAGATCCCAGGAGGAGAATGAAGGAGAAGGGATTGCAGTGTGGCCATCCCCCTGGGAGGGGGTGATTTCTCATTTTCCCTCTCATTGTCTCTGTCTCGGTCTCTCTCTCTGGTGAGTGCCCCTGCTCTACAGCAAAAATCTCTCGAAAATTTTTTTTTGCTATAGAGTGAATGTGCTCACTGGGGATAGAGGAAGGAAAAAGTGGGGGCGGGAGGCGGAGAGAGCAAGAATTCATGCCCCTGGGGGGATGGCCACATCACAATCCCTTCTCCTCCTGGGATTTTGGGCATGCACATAAATGTGCCCAGCACGTTACAAAAATTTTTAATCTTTATTGTTTTAACAGACAAATGTTCCTTTTTTTTTGGAGAGGTTTTTACTACAGGGCACGTGCACTCTCCAGAAAGACAGAGAGAGACAGAGAGATAGAAAGCGAGATATCACCCCCCAGGGGGGATGGCCACGCTGCAATCCCTTCTCCTCCATTCTCCTCTTGGGCATGCACGCACATGCGCCCGGCATAAGTTTAAGCCACTGGTTTTAGGACTCGAACCGCGTGGGAGTCCAGCAACATAGCCATTACTCCAAATGCTGGTCCCAGCTCTTAAAAACAAAACAAAACCATGCTAGGCACATGTGTGTCCATACCCAAAATACTGGGAAAATGGAGGAGAAGGAATTGTGGCATGGCCATCCACTCGTGGCTGGTGATTTCTCATATTCCCTCTGTCTGTCTGTCTCTGGCATGAGCACATGGCGTATAGTAAAACTTAAACAAAACAAAACAAAAAAGACAGAAATCTAGAAGGATAACAATTGTTGGACAGAATCTGTGAGAAAAAGAGTGAGAGAGCTAGGAAGAATTAAAAAACAAAAACAGTAATAGTAATAATGAAGACAAAAAGTCTGAAAAACAATTTATGGATAAAAATTAAGCTGAAGCAATTTTTCTTACACACCTAAAGTAACCGTTCAGACAGGAAAACCATACGGTTGGCAAAGAGTCTGTGCTTTAAAGATGGTCTTTCCTATTCTGGATTTCTGCCAGGGTGAACCTCAACATAGACCCTACATTTCAGAAGTTCTCTAATAGAATGAAGTCCTTCAGCTCCCTCTACTGTTCAAAATGTACTTTAGTTAGGTCAGCTCAATCTTTACTAAAATAAATACATACCTAAATACATACATGTACAATCATACACATGTGTTACATATATACATGCATGCACCAATTATGGGATAACAAATAATTAGAGTTCAAATACATTTGCCTACCATGAGCTCCACAGGTAAGACCAAACTTCTCAAATATGCAACAACTGATTCTACCCTCTCCAATCCTACCTGAAGTGACTCAGGGAAAACAGATTTTTTTCAACAAGAGAATTGAGGTTTTCTTTTTTTTTTTTGAGAGATTTTCACTGTAGGGCACGTGCGCTCGCCAGACAGACAGAGAGAGACATAGAGACAGAAAGCGAGAAATCACCCTCCAGGGGGGATGGTCACGCCACAATCCCTTCTCCTCCATTCTCCTCTCGGGATCTTGGGCACGTACGCACACGCACCCAGCGTGAGTTTTAAGCCACCGGGTCTGGGACACGAACCGCGGTCGACTACGTGGGAGTCCAGCGACATAGCCATTACGCTAACTGCTGGTTCCCGAGAATTGAGGTTTTCTTCAAGCAAAGTTAAAAGCAGCAAAATTACCCTTGTCTTCATTTCTTGTCTACTTACTTGCTAGTTGGATTACAACAACAGTCTCCCAAACACCAGGAATCAAAGCATCGCTAAGTCATTCCTGTTTCTGCTTAGTTTTTTTCTTCATCCAATATTTCCTTGTTAAAAGACTTTCTTTCCCTTGGGGCCAGCAGGTGGCGTGGAGGTTAAGGCAGCTGGATCCAATATGCCCAAATGCATGGTTCAAGTCCTTGGACACAGCAGCTTGAAAAACACACTGAGTCTGCACGTGTGCATGCTCAAAATGTTGAAAGGAGAATGGAGGAGAAGGGACTGCTGTGTGGCCATCCCCCTGGATGGTGATTTCTCACTTTCTCTCTCTTTCTGTCTGTGGTGAGTGCATATGTCCTACAGCAAAATAAAAATAAATAAATAAATAAATAAGACTCTCTTTGCATGTCTAAACTCAGTTGTTAGAACCTTATTATCTTCAGGATTGTCTACACTGAAAGATCTATGAGTCAGTTACGGCAGAAAAATGAGCATCTGTCCAAGGAAAGTATTCTTTACTTACCTTCTCCTTAAATTGCTTCTGAGATAAGCAGTCAATTAGGTCCACACAGCCTAGAAGACAACCTGATGGATAGTCGTTGGGAAATTCCACATCTGAATGAAGAATAACAAAAGGATTGGATAAATTCCCTTCTTTTTGACCCTGAAACTCAGGAATCTGTTTTCAATTCTGAATAAATAACTTTTTCCACTATCTATTTGTAGACACAACAAAAACAATGAGGTTTCTATTTGGCACAACTGTTTATATTTCAGTCCACTATCCACATGCTATGCTAAGGAAATTTTCTCTTTAGGAAACTATTACTCTCATACTACCAAAGTTCAAGGATCCCACAAATTCATTCCAAACAAACCTATGCAACTCTAGTATAGTCGACTGGGTCAGATTGCAGTTTGGTAGTGATAGGTACAAAGGCAACTACAGGTAATAAGAGAAAAAACATTAAAAAGTGGGGGGAGGAAACAACATAAGAATGCAACTCAGAACACAAATTTAAAACAAGCCAGTCATGTCAGTCAAAACAGAAATGTGTGTGTTTGTTTAAAGAGAGATTTTTGCTACAGGAGCATGCTCTCGCTGGACAGACAGAGACAGAAGGCTAGAAATCACTCACTAGAGGGTTGGCCACGCTGCAATCCCTTCTCCATTCCCCTCTCAGGATCTTGGGCACATACAACAAATGACTGGCATGAGTTTTAAGTTAGTGGGTCCAGGATGTGAAGCGCGGTCGACTGTGTGGGAGTCCAGCGATGTAAGCATTGCACCGTCTACTCCCCAGAAATGTGTTTTCAAAGGAGGTATGTATTTTTGATCTCTAGTGATCCCTTAGCTTGACTTCTTAAAATGTTTTAAAGATGGTTCTCTAATGATCCTTCATTCTACCTTCAAAACAACTATATGAGTTGGGTAAGAGAAAAAAAAAAAACCAGGAGGCTCAAGGGTTAGATGTCTTTTTAAGGTTCCAAATTTACTATGTTTGGGATGATTCCTTAAATATGCCACTTAAGTATCTCAACTTTATCTGTTCAAATTCCCATAGCATATATTTATTTGGGTCATTCCTCATCATTCTTACTCATTGTTGTTCTTCCCAACCTAAAGATTCCATAGTTTATAAGTCATTTTATCTTCATAGTAAAAAAGAAAAAGATTTTCTCAAATAAAATTAAGAGTAACTGGTTGCTTTCTGGTGCTAGAAACTGGTATTTTTATTTGTAATGTTTGACGAATTAATGCTGTGAACAGTTGTCTATGATTTGCCACTATACAAGCAAACAAACGAATATAAGACTTAAACGTCTCTTTCAGCCAAGAAAAAGCCACAGGAAGAAGGAAGCGAAAGAAGACAAACGTCAGTGACTTTCTCTACAAAATAAGATTGAAAGGAGAACATATGGCTGTTACCTTTCCCACGAAGAAGACGATATGTAGCCTGAAGTTCTGAGACTTCCTGAGGGGATGGTTTTTTGGCTGTGGCTGCTATCCAAAGTCGTCCTCTGTGGGGAGTGTACCAGGATCTGCCCTCCACCCTTAAATAAATACAAATTTAATGGGAAGAATCTAAATTCTAGTTTCCTGGAAGATCCCATAATGTACAACAAAATCTATAGCAAATTATCCAGATGACAAAACAATGTATAGGTGACACCTCACCAAGAGGGACACCTTTTGTGTCACTTTTCTCCCACAATACCCTTCACTTGAGGATGCACCCCATTCTTTAAATTTCTCTTATCACCAAAACGAAGGCAACTCATCTCTCCCAACGTCTCACTACTTTTCACCTGAATCCAATAAATCAGACCTGCACTTACCTCCCACCAGCCTTGGGACTTCTATAATCCAAATCCTGTATTTTTGAGGCATCTAAGTTATCCCACAGAAATAGAAATCCTTGCCCTTCTTTGAATTGAAAGGTTAACCTTCTTCTGGGAAATGTGTTCATTTGTTCTCCCATGAAAGGAAAAAAACCTCACACATAAATCTACAAGATTTATGTATTTTTGTAATTAACAGAATTTAACTAAAAAGGCTTATCTTTATTTCTTTAAAGTGCAATCACACTCATTTACATTTTCTCTTTATTTTATACAGAGTTAAATTCTTTGTGGATAATTAAACAACTGCTGACTGGTTTAAAAGACTTTTTTTTAAAGGGTTTTTGCCATAGCCTTGCAGGAGAGAGACAGAGAGAGGGAAAGTGAGAAATCACTACCTAGGGGATGGCCATACCACAATTCCTTTTCTTCCATTCCGCTCTCGAGATCTTGGGTATGCACACACATGCACCTGGTGTGAGTTTCAAGCCACTGGATCCAGGGCTTGAACTACAGTTGGCCATGTGGGAGTCCAGTGTCTTAACTACCATGCTACTTACTGGCCTCTGAAAGAATCCTTAAGTGAGATAACAGGAGATATTCATGAGAATTTAATTACTTAGATACTTTCCAAGGGTACAAAAAGATGATACTCTTTACCTCCCATCAAATCTTATTTAAATGAAATTAAAAGATGTTGACAACTTATCTTTTTTTTTTTTTAAGAGGTGCTTGCCTTAGAGTGTGTATACTCATAGGAGAGACAGATACAGTGAGAGGGAAAGTGAGAAACCATCTCTGGGAGATGGCCACATTGTAATCCATTCTCCTCCTGGGATCTTAAACACACATGGTGATTTTCAAGCCACTGGATCTGAGACTCAAACTGCAGTTCACCATGTGGAAGTCCAGTGAGGTAACCACTACACCATCTGCTGGCCCTAAAACATATATTTCTTTCTTTCTTTTTTTTTTTTTCAGCAGAGAGATTTTTGCTATAGGGTGCATTCACTTGCTGGAAAGACAGAGAGAGAGAAATCATCCCCCAGAGGGAATAGCAACACTGCAATCCCTTCTCCTCCAATCTCCTCCTGGGATTCTGGGCACACATGCACATGCACCCAGTGTGAGTTCCAAGCAACCAGGTCTAGGACTCGAACTGCAGTCAGTCACATGGGAGTCCAGCGATGTAACCACTGCGCCACCTGCTGGCCATCTTTTCCATTCTTAGCATAGAAAGTAGGGTTATAATTTTTTTTTTCTTTCTTTCTTTCTTTCTTTCTTTCTTTCTTTCTTTCTTTCTTTCTTTTTTTTTTAATCACACATCACTCCTTTATTATACTGATCTGGAAAATGTTAGTAGTTATGCTCAAAATGAGTACTGGGCCCACGTGACAGGACCACACAACTAGGACATAATTTAGAAATAAGACACAGTAAGACACGTTTGAATGTGATCAAAAGCCGTTTTGCTGCCGCAAAACAAGGGGGAGAGGTCTAAAATACACAGCAGGATACACTCCTCCTTGAAGTCAAGGAGCTTATCCCAGTTTGTGAGAGGAATGGCTTATCTTCTGGCGACCACTGTGGGACCACTTCAGTCACCACTAGGAACCCCAGAAGGGCTTTTGTTTTGTGTTATTTATATATATGTATATATTTCTCTCTTTTTTTGCAAAAATGCAATCAGGATTGATCCCAGTCTTCTGGAGTCAACTTGAGGGTCAGGAGGAAGTTGTATTTTGTGTCTTTAATCACCATGCCCATTCTATCATCTTCCACTGGAAGGCCTAGTGCCCGTCAGGGACCTGCCTCCAGAAAAGCACAGGCCTGGCCCCCGGAAACACAAACAGGCCCTCTGACTTCTCGGTGGCCTTGCCTTAGCATGGTTCCTCCCTAGCCCTACTCAAGCAGGTCCACAGTACACAAAGCTCTAAAAAACCCGAGTCACCGCTTCTCACTCTCAGGTAAGAGGAACCTTCCCTCGGCTTGGACTGAAAACCTGTGCCCTAGAGATGCTATCTCCTTGCATGAAGCAAATGGGTGCAGGAAACACGATGGCCAGAATGAAAATAGGAGCCACTGGTCCCATCTGTGGCCTCAACTTCAGATGCCTTCAGATGTGGTCAGTGTGACATGCGCAGGGGAGGGTAGAGAGGGATGGGATGGGCAGGGAGGGGGCTCCTCAGGATAGTGGTCTGCCTGCTCCCCTTCACTTCTTGGCTTTGCCCTGGGCAACCACAGCTTCCATGGCTTTATGCACGGTCTTTTAATCTCCCAGGAACTGCATGGGCTTGATGGGCTTTAAGTTCTTGTCCAACTTATAGACAACGGGGATACCGGTAGCAGGTTCAGCTCCATGATAGCCTCTTCAGGGAGACCCTCCAGGTGCTTGACGATGCCCCGCAGGCTGTTGCTATGGGCTGCGATCATTATGCGGTTCCCCTCCTTGATCTGGGGAACGATATCCTCATTCCAGAAGGGCAGAGCTCTGGCAATCGTGTCCTTCAGACTCTCACAGGAGGGCAGCTGGTCTTCGGTGAGATCTGCATACCTGTGATCCTTACTGATGTTGCTGTAGAAGGGGTGGTCGGGCTCCATCCGGAGCGGCGGGACGTCGTAGGAACGCCTCCAGATCTTCACCTGCGCCTCCCCGTGCTTGGCCGCAGTTTCTGCCTTGTTGAGGCCAGTGAGGCCCCCGTAGTGCCGCTCGTTGAGGCGCCATGTCCTCACCACCGGCAGCCACATCTGGTCAATGGCATCCAGCATTGTCCAGAGGGTCCGGATCACCCTCTTCTGCACTGAGGTGAAGCAGACGTCAGATTCGTAGCCGGCATCGCGCAGCGCCTCGCCTCCTCATGACCCACCGGGCTCAGGTCGGCGTTGTACCAGCCACTGAAGCGGTTCTCCAGGTTCCAGGCGCTCTCGCCGTGCCTGATGAGCACCAGCTTGTAGGCGGCCATGGCGAACCGCTACAGATACTGCGCTTACTGGCCCTCGCCGAGATTCCAGAGTCGCAGCCTGCACCCCTGGCCACGCCTGCGCACTCGCGCCCCAGCACCCGCTATAAATTTTTCACACCCTTGGTTTGCTAACATATGAACTGGAAGGGCGCCAGGCACTTACAGGTGCTCCACATGGGGAATGAACCTATATATGTCTTCCCTCTAGAACAGATAACTGAACAGTTACTGGGAAAATAGCCCCACAAATGTGGCAGAACCACCCACTTTATTTCTGTGGGATTAGTAACTGGGGGCAGGATGCTGCTCACCCTGTTCTTTCAGTGAGAAAATCTGAGTAACAGAGATCCAAGATAGGATGAGAGAAATGTAAACATTCTGATTCCCTGAACAAAAGGCAAGCTGTTCAGATTTCTCCTTTGGAAAAGGAAGACGCCTAAACTGAGAGAACTGAATGGGACCAGCAGACATCTGAAGGTCCAGTAGTCCTGGAGCAGAAGTAGACTCACATGTACTTGTTCTAATGGACAGTGAAACAAGTAGGAACCACAGTAAGAAAGCCTGACCTGCAGGAGGGTAGAAAAGCTACTGTACACCTTAATAAAGGAGGAAAATGACAGCTCATAATGAAACCACTGAAGTAGAAATGATTGCTACTAAATGCCGATGGTAATTTTCTTTCATGAAAGTAGAGAAACGACTGAAACCTACAAAGTAAAGAAAGCACTTTGAAAATATGAACTCCAGTTCCCTCTCTGCCATTAACTAGCCCTGTAATTCAGGGCAGTCTGCTTTAACTGTTGCCTGCCTTAGTGGCCTTGTTTGCAAAAGGCGGTAGTAACAATAACCTAATCTGCTGCAGAGCTCTTGCTCTGAAAACTAAAATTCTATTTAAATATAAAGTATTGTTACTGTTAATGAATTAAAATATTGTCACACACATAAAATTCTAATAGATAAAATAAGGAAAAGTGAGAATGTTATACTGATAAATAAAAATATAATGTCATGGGGACCAGCAGTTAGCGTAATGGCTATGTTGCTGGACTCCCATGTAGTCGACCGCGGTTCGAGTCCCAGGCCCCGTGGCTTAAAACTCACGCCGGGTGCGTGTGCTCCTCTCCCAAGAGGAGAATGGAGGAGAAGGGATTGCGGCGTAGCCATCCCCCCTGGGGGGTGATTTCTAGCTTTCTGTCTGTCTCTTTCTGTCTGTCTCGTGAGCGCAAGTGCCCTATGGCAAAAACCTCTCCAAAAAAAAAAAAAAAACATATATATATAAAATGTCATGATTTCATTATATAACAAACAGAAAAAAAAGAACAGAAATAAACACTCCAAAATGCTAACAATAGTTGTTTCAAGGTGGTGGGATTATAGGTGATCTTCCTTTTTCTAGCTGCTTTTCTGTATTTTACAATTTTCTATTTACATGTATAAAAGCAAAAAAAAAATTTTTTTGTAAGAATTGTTTTATTTAACTTTATTTATTTATTTATTTTAATTTGATCAGAGAGGGAGAAAGAGAGCGAGCGAGCATGCAAGCCGCCAGGTCCAGAACTCAAATCACAGTCAGCCATGTGGGAGTCCATCACCTTCAACCACCAAGCTACCTGCTGGCCCCAAGAAAATTATTTACAATTAAGAGGAAACATGAAGAAGCCAAGAAATAGAATAGTAAGCTACTACCACCATGACTGGCTGGTACTCCTCAGTTCTCTAATACCTCTACTCATCCCTCGTTATTTTCCCTACTGTTTTTTTTTGTTTGTTTGTTTATTTTAATTTGCTATAGGGCACATGCATTGGCCAGAGAGAGACAGAGAGTTAAAAAGAACCCCTCAGGGAGGAAGAACATGCCATAATCCCTCTCCTCTCACTCTCTTCCAGGAATTTTGGGCACACAGACATGTGCCCAGCATGTATTTCAAGACCCCAGGTCTGGGACTTGAATCACATGATCGGCCTGTGGGATCCAGCCGCTTTAACCACCACACACCTGGTTGGCCCACCCTAGTTTTCATAAAAAAAGGAATTTTCAAATAAAATAATTTCCTCATATAGTTAGATTAATAGACAGATACAAAGAAAGGAAAACAAAATCCTAATTATGTTGGTGTCTTTTATTTTTTAATTGGTTTATTTACTTTTATTTATTATTTTTTTAACTTGACCTGAGAGAGAGAAAAGGAAAGCAAGAAAGCAAACTGCCAGGCCCTGGACCAGCACTGTGGTCAGTCATGGTTGGCCTCAACCACCATGCCGCCTGTCAGTGCTACTGGTGTCTTAATAAAATGAATAGGGGCCAGCAGATGGTATAGCAGTTACGTCACAGGACTCCCACATGGACAACCATGGTTTGAGTCCTGGATCCGGTGGCTTGAAACTCATACCGGGAGTGTGTGCATGCGTGCCCAAGATCCCAGGAGGAGACCAGAGGAGAAGGGACTGTGACATGGCCAGTCCCCTAGAGGGTGATCTCTGGGGGTGATTTCTCACTTTCCCTCTTGTTGTCTCTGTCTCACACTCTCTCTCCAATGAAAAAATGCACCCTAAGGCAAAAACCTCTTAAAATATTTTTTTAAAGTAAAATAAATAAATAGGCATAAACCTTTGAATTTCAATTACAAAAACAAAGCCCAAAGCAGTTTTTTTCCATAGACCTCCTTACAAAGATGAAAAAACTGGTATTTTATCTTTGTTATGACCTGGATCCTCCAGGTCCGGGACTCGAACCACAGTCGGCCATGTGGGAGTCCAGTACCTTAACCACCACACCACCTGTTGGCCCCTGGACCTTAGCCTTTCTAGGCTAGTTTGCTTTTAAGCTATTCAGTAAAATACTATTACTTCAGTTTTATTTGTCCATTTAAGAATATTTTAGGGGTTGACAGGTGGTGGGGTAAAGGGCGCTGGACTCCCACATGGCTAACCCCGTTTGAGTTCCAGACCTGGTGGCTTGCTTTCTCACTTTCCCTCTCTCGCTCCCTCTCTAGTCAAAATTAAAAACAAATAAATTAACTAAATAATTCTTAAAAAAAAAAAAAGAGAGAGAGAGAGAGAATATTTTAACTAATTAAAATGAAATGCTACTGCTAGGTCAGCAGTATGAACACACTATTTTCAAAACTCCATGTACTGGGGGCCAGGGAGTGGCACGGTGGTAAACACGACAACCCACACGGAAAAGGTGCACGTGTTTGTGCCTCTGATCCAGGTCAGCTTTGAGACTGGGGGTGGGTCACGGGAATACACTGCTGAAGGTGTCTTTTTCTCTCTCACAGAAGAACTAAGAAAACTTAAAAAAAAGTTCTAAATACTGATACAATAAAACATCAGAGGCCAGTAGGTGTAGGAGTGGTTATAGCACTGGACTCCCACAGGGCTTACCGTGGTTCAAGTCCTGGACCTGGCAGCTTGAAAATCACACCAGGAACGTGTGCATGCATGTCCAAAAGCCCAAGAGAATAGAGGAAAAGGATTGTGATGAGGCCATTATCACTTGGGGGTGATTTCTCCCTTTCCTTCTCACTGTCTCTTTTCCAGGGAGCACATGCGCCCTGTGACAAAAGCCTAAAAACAAAACAAAACACAACAAAAACACTGGATTGGGGAAAACTAATTCCAATCTATAATTCTTTTTTTTTTTGAGAGAGATTTTTTTTTTGGAGAGGTTTTCACTATAGGGTGCATGCGCTCGCCAGACAGACAGAGAGAGACATAGAGACAGAAAGCGAGAAATC